TTAAGTACTATATTTAACAAGAAGATCACATAAGCATTGGAATAAGTCAATTTCCTCTCGCTCATAGAAAACACTTCCATGGGGAGGAAAATAACAGAAAATAAGGTATATAGGTTTACCATTGAGCTGAACATGATTTAGTTTTAACACTACTATAGTATCAGAGATATTTTCTAATAAGCAGACATATTTAAATATTTCTTTTCTAATAAATATAACTAAACCACCTCCTCTACCAGTCTTACGAGGAAATTTAAGTGATTCATAACCATCTACAAAAATTATGTTACAATCATTCTCTGTTATCCAACTTTCAGAAACACAAACCACATCTGCTGAATTAACTATATCAATAAATTCACTTTCTGTTTGCTTGTTCTTGAGTCCTTTGCCAATGTTCCAAGAAAGTACCCGGTATAACTTGATAAGCTTATATTGGCAATGCTGTATCTCATAACAAATAAATGAACTGATGATTGTTTAGCTTCATGCCAGTGTAAAGACGAATAATGACCCCCATCGAATAATGACCGGGGGTCATTTTTTGACAGCGGAAAATGACCCCCGGTCATTATTCGACGTCGAAAAATGACCCTTTTGCCCGTAGAAAAAGTGTCACCACCCTAAAAACTTACAGAACCCACGTGAAGAAAAATTACCCCCGTAGAAAAATGACTCCCTGTGGATTAAAGCTGAAATTTTTAGGGGGCAAAAAATTTAGATAAAGAAGCATATTGGCCAAAATGCTCACCTGAGCTAATTGGGAATAAATTGATGATATGTTGATCTCATAACATTATACACTTATAGCTATATTTTAAGGTCAATGCGATGATTCAGAATCTAAAAGATTTATCGAGCCTAAAGGGTTAGGTAAACATTGTTTTTCGATGGTGGAAATCATCGTACTGACAGAAAAAATCAGCAGTATTAAATGTTATTTATCCTCCGCTTGAAAAGAATGAGGGTATATAGTGATCGGGATGTCCCTCCGTCCGTCTGTTTCACTTTGGGGTATCCATCTCTTATCCGCAACTGCTCTTATATATATATAAAAAAAAATGTGTTTTGAAACAGCTATGCCCCTGTATGGCAACATAGCAAAGATTAAACTTTTCTTAAATGCAGTTTAAGTATATTGGTACCCAAAGTAGTGTCTTCTCACAAGAAATACAATTGCAAAATAGGACAGCCTTAGCACAACTTGTTTAAAAGTAATGGCTAAAGATAAGTTTTTGAAAGGTAGGTCAAACTCAAAGGTCAAAGGGTCAAAGTTGATGACTTCTTAAGAAAGGTTTAATGTAACAGGGATTACATATGTGAAGTATGAAAACCATAGCCCTTACCGTTCAAAAATTATGGCCAAGGTTAAAGTTTTTTTCATACGTAAGGAAATCTCCAAGGTCAAGGTCAAAATGTCAAAGTTTTTAGTATCCAATGAAAGGTAATGCCAAAAAAAATACATATATAAAAGTATGAAAGTGCTAGTTTTTTACCGTTTTAAAGTTATGTCCAAAGTAAAAATGTGGCATTTGTGTAAAATGGGACAAACTCCAAGGTAAAAGTCAAAAGGTCAAATTTGGAAGCACCCAAAGTAAGGTCTTGTCACAAGGAATACACATATTAAATAAGAAAGTCACAGCTCCAATAAATGAAAAGTAATGGTTTATAAGGTTAAAGTTTTTGCGGACAAACAGACCGCCAGATAGTCAGCTAGACATACAGACGGACACGATAAAACTAATACCCACGAATGTTCGATTACGGGGACATAAAAAGAAATAGTTTTCAATTAACTTTTCATATTACGATACATAATAAAGAAGACGTTAATAAAAAATGAAAATGTTTTTTCCGATTTTCATATTTAATTCTCTAAAAAATATACTCAGAACTGAGTAAAGGGTTGAGTAAAACAAGAATTAAGAAATGTAATACTGTGTGCTAAATCAAAAAGTTATATCTACATGTATAGTTTTTGCATTACAATGTGTATTTTACACTAGCCCATAGCTTTACAGAGCATATTTTAGGTGTTGTACTCTCCCCACCCCCCTACTTATTTAGGAGGAAGTCGGTTATCAACAAAAGCAACAACAAAAAAAGCTATCCTAAATTTATTTTTCTGTAAGGTGGGACTAAAAATATTCTCCTATTCTACCAATTTTCAACTGTTACTTTGCAACAATACTTTCAAGTATACCCCCACCAACATTTAAAGTATGCTTTAATCACGGCGAAATAAATTATGATATAATAGTACTCTTTTGAAGGCTTAACTTCATTTCAATATTTTTTCTAGATCCTCTTTCAGTATTATTGAAAGGTATAAAGAGTTTTATTTATAGTTTTGCTTTTCATTTATTTATTTATTTATTTTTTTGATTTAACTTAAAGGTTCTTGGACACGTATTTGAAGGTGATTTTTTCTGTATAATATTACGACTTATATATTTTAATAGCATTTTACACAAAAATTAATTTAAAATCTTATTTCATCTAAAAGTTATTAAAACTTTAAATAATGATTAATTGATTGATTGTTGATTGCTTAAAACTGATTTGTCAATATTTCAGCAGAGAGAAATGAGGAACTTTATTACCCCTACTTGCTAAGAAGAACAAATATAAAAACTATTCGAACAAATGCATGAATTACTCGAAGGAAGAACAATTATAATATGAAGCATATTTTCCCTTTCACCTGTTATAAATTTTGTATCACTTTAAAGGGGGTCATTTTTCAATGGGGGTCAATTTTTTATAGGACTAACATATAAAATAATGACCCCTAGGACTCTTTTTCTACAAAAAATGATTTTTTTTCTACGGGTGGGGGGTCATTTTTTGTCGTTGAAAAATCACCCCGGTCATTATTCCATGGGGGTCATTATTCATCTTTGCACCGGAAATATTTTTGACAATAAATGCAAATTTAACAAGGATGAACATATTCCAGTACAAGTTATACTGTTAACAAAATACATTAAATGCAACAATAAGAATTATTAAATGATGAGGAATTTTTGGTGCTCTTTGATTGGTTTAGACGCCTTTTTGTGATGTAACTCAGAGTGAGTTCACCTTAAATGACGTTCTGGGAGGATTATTCGTTTTTTTTTCTCTTGACCAACCATTGATTTGCTTACAAATCAAACTGGACGTCTTAACAAACGCCAGTCCCAACAGATTTAACTACTCTCTTAAGTAAAATAGTTAAGTATTATTGTTTAATAATATTGTTGTCAACTTTTAAACAATCTGTATGCTGTTCAACTTGAAAATTAGTTATAATGTGCTATTACAATTACATCTCGGTCTTTGGCCTCGGTCAACTAATACCTGAGAGGTCCGTATAGTCAAAAGAAGACCTCATCAAAAGTCAATAATTGTATAATGTGAAAATTTGAATGTGTATTCAAAAGTCGGATGCGTCTCATGATTCGAATAAAACACCGTCCGTTATTTTTTAATAGAACGTACAGTACGCATATGTAAATCCTTTTTCCACAAACTTCATTCCCTTGAGACGATGGCCAAGAAGACTTGTGACCTTACTGCAATATGTGTTAGCATCAGTTTGGTATGACCAGTGTGTGTTTCTAGAGATGGCATGACGTCTGTCTGTTTCAGATTATAAATAAGGCTTTGAAAGCTATACGGAACTGGCAAAGCTGAAGCGTTGCTCCTTTTTGAGAAAATCCGCATTTGTAATTTTTTTTGAAAGTATGTTGACTGATTTAAAGCAAATATTAAGCATTATACAGTTGATTATGAAATACGAAACAGGACTCACGGTTATCTGGAAGTTTGCTTGTTGAAAATATTGACCAGTGCTTGATTATCACTGTGAAAAGAACACTTTACTGGCTTCATGTCCTATAAACCTACCGCTTAAATAAATGGAATCAACTCTAGGGTTGACATGTTTAAAAAAAATGTTTTATTGCGACATGCAGGCCAAGACAAAAGGACATAAATTCCCTTGAAAATATTCACCACAGCCAAGATCATATTTATATGCGGTATGAGTAAACAGCTCAAAAACTACAAGTTAGAGGACCACTCAGTCTCACTAAAATACATTTCTCCTTAAAATACTTCAAAAAATGGAGCCATAAACGCATATCCTATTTTAACCCTGCTTTAGAGACATGAGATGCTGAGGCATATGCATATAGGTGGCTTCATGCATTTAACTAACAAATGCCCCACCTGGCGGAATGTCCTTACATGTATCTCTCGATTAATTTTTCACTTATCTGGAGATGCCACCACTTGCTGAATGTAGACTATAACTTATATTATAAAATAATAATTTACATTTATACAAATAATGTGCATTCAATGCAAGTGGGCAGTGAAGGACCTTTTTCGTGCTCTATACTGGCATGGGAGCTCGGTTTGTACGGTCTTATCCCTAAGATCAGTATCTGCGTCCCGTAGTACATGTAGATTCAAACCCGTAACCGAAGGAACAGCTCCTTACTTCGCGACTTTAGAGCAGATGTTTAAATGCCTGCGCCAGGAGGTCGACTATAATAAATGTTTATCGCAAATTTTCTAAAACCTCAATGTGATATGATTCTTGAACGAAAACTACTCTTCAAAATTATAACAAAAGCATTGCTGTTTAAATTAAAAGATGGAGGTCATTCGATTGCCCAAAGGAAAAGTGATGTAACGAAAAATGTTTCATTACAGTGCCAAGTAATAAAAGGAACTCTAAAATCATATCAGAATGACTCTAAAATAGCTTACTACAGTTAAATAAAGTGAAAACTTTGATATTTTGATTTACTATACTACTTACTATAAAATTTTGATTTACTATATACTAATTTCCATTCAAACTTTGATTAACTGTGGTAAAAACTTTGATTAACTAAGGTGATAACATTGAACATTTGATTAACTGAAGTGATAACTTTGACACCATAGTGAACACTTTGAAAACGCTGAAATACAATAATGATCACTTTGAAAATATAGTGGTCACTATGAAAACTTTGATTTAATATAGTTATAACTTTGACACTTTGATTTACCACAATAAACAATAGCAACCAGGTAACGGTAGTTTGTTTTGTTAGGGGAAATACTGCGAAATAAACTCTATAAACATGGCTAAAAAGTTGAAAAGGTCCTGCTTGTTTTTTCTGCTGATAGAAATTTTGAAGTTTTTTAAGCTGCAGATTTAGTTTCATGCTTCCTTAGATACTGACGGTTAAAACAGCATGCAATTCAATAATTTAAATCTCCATGGAATTAGTTCTATAACTAGATACACATTGCGAACTTTCTGAAGCCTTCTGTCCCCTGAAATGAATCATACTTGTATCGTATTAGCCATACAAGGTACTTGAGATTCATTCATATCATGAGTTTCAGTGTTTTCTTCCAGTGGCAGACACCTTTGGCATTTTAACCTCCCACCTAGCAGGCAAATATGTCTTTTTCGATATGCAACAACACTTCCTGTCCCTAAAAGAACAATTACAACAGTTGTACATGTACATATGATAGCTATTCTATTCTTATCTCCTCCTTCATCCGAAATTTGCACATTGCCATATTTCTCGCCTTCGTTGTCAGGAGACCCTTGTGAGTTGTCATAGGACTCTTGTGCGTTGTCAGGAGATCCTTGTGCGTTGTCAGGAGACAGTTTTCCCTTAATTTTAGAGTCCTTTGTGTGATTCTGAGACTCTTGATTTGAGTTTGTTTCAGTTGGGCATTTTTCAACACCAATCAGATACATATTTCCACATTTAAGAGCGTTTAATAACCTGAAAGGGAAAACAATTCATAAATAATTTTTGGAGTATACAAAGATGTGTTATTACTAATTAGTTATTACATGATTAAATGTATGTAGTTTTTTTCTGCAAAATTAATTACATTCATCTTCTTTAAACGGTAAAAAAACTCGCTTTCTAAATGGATAATTCTATTTATATAACGCATAATAACATGAATACCAAATAACTAAGAATAAAAAAAAATCATATATGTAGCGTAATCAGAAAAGAATATACTGACATCGATATTCTTAAATAATCTGTACAAAATAAGAGCCACTTTGGGCCTTATTTGTCCCTGAGAATTTCTGAAAAATCAAATCCGCTCTGTTTAGGTGCAAATACATTATTTATCACTTTGAGTGTTGATGAACACATATCTGTCAATCATGACGTCGTTTTCCCTCTAGTCAATGCATAACGACGTCATAAAATGCATAATTTTCCTCATATCCTAGGCCTGTAAACTCCTTTGAAAATGGCTTAAAGTTTTAGAATTTCATGTAGAGTACAACCTTTAATCCAAAATATGCAAATACATAATGAAAGATCCGTTTCTGAAAATAAAAAAAGATCATATTTTGGGGGGATCGTGGGCTGTGCTCATATTTTAAATCTTTAAAGGAAGGTAGTCAAATACGCATGTTTTCTGCAAATTTCTAGAACATTGCAATTTCTCAAAGCTTGTTCTCAATATCTAGATTCTCAAAATGACATTTTATTATACAAAATGAACGCACCAAGTGTCTACTTTCTTTTGATATATGAAGTGAGAAAGAGGGTGATAGTTATTTTATTGTTATAAGTACACACTGAAAACACCAATACTTTTTCAATAGCTACTAATAAGCAGTTAGAACTTTAGGAGCATGTCGAGTATAGACCATGAACACGTACGTATATATAAATAATAACGTGTAAATCCGTAAGTTATTTTTCCTTACTTACCAAACGTTTCCTAGTAGAAGAAAAAGTAAACAGGTTTGACAGGTGTCCATTGGTAGCTAAAAATGAAACTTTTTGAATATATAAATAATCATAAACATGTCTCCAGCGCCATAAAATCGAAATTAATTAAATCTAATGATATTGTAGAAGATTTAAATGAACTAGAGGATTTTGTACAATGAGCTCACTAAATGATACCCCCCCCCCCCATATGATTATAATAGGAAAGTCCATGTTTTATTGCAGTAGACCAGAAATAAGTGTTAGAGCAAAAATTGAAAATGAGATCATAGTGACACTATGTAAGGAAGAATCTGTGCAAGTCTCATTCAAATTTATTTCGTGGTATACGAGAAGTGTCGGATGATACCTTTCAATATTATAGAAAGATTGACAGTGTCCATGTTCTGCTAGGGGAAACCAAAACTATATGTCCAATCAAAAAGTAAGATTGGCTGTACACAATCACTCATCATCGTTTCCATATATTTTAGAAAATATGTGTTTATTGAGAAGTTGATGAAGTTTTTCAGTTAGGTCAATAGTGATAAGTTTCAGTTTCATATATATTGCTCATCTTTTTTTGTAATAAGGGCCGATCTATTTGTAGTTTTTCTTAGACTGTGCACATGGTGAAATGAGACATTATTTTTCCTTGCTGCGATAGAATAATTCCTTACTGAAAACAAGCATAAAAATATCAAAATACATGTCGGTTTTCAAAATTAGATCAATATGAAGTCAAAATGATATTGATAACATTATGGTTTTATTTTTATTTCTTATCACCTATTGATGATTTTATAAAAGAAAATCACAGGATCCGCTCCCAAACGGGTGTGCGTAAGATGCAGAACAAAACTGTTGAGTTTCGAGATTTCAATAAAAAATGTCTTAAATGATAAAGGTTTAAGAAGAACTGGATATTTTGTAAAAAATGCATTACAAATTACATAATAATATTTTTGCGTTTTTTTAATTCATTTTGATACTTAATTAATCACAAAGCTGATCGACATTTTCTAACATTTTAATTCACGTGACATCGATTCAGTTCAGCAAGTAATATTTGTACGCGCTTTTTTGAGACTACATGTATATTTGTCAGCATTAAGATACTTGTTGCATTTGTCTTTGAATCAAATTATTAAGAAACATTCTGTGTAACTACTTAAACTTCGTTGGCACACATGGAAACCAATTTTGATAAAATTTTACCTTTTTAAGTACAAATGTCAAATAAATTTTCGTTGGTAAGTGTCTTTGTTACCATGGAAACAGTAGGAAAAATTTGAAAAAATCAGATTTTCAGCTACGTTAAATTTTTACAGAGCCTTAATAAAAACTAGAAAAGCAAACAAACCATTCTCACAAAAACATGAGCGTCTGTTGCCACTAATACTGTAAAGAAACTGCTTAGAATGTATCTCTGAATACTGGTTATCAAAAGTACATTTGGAATACATTTAAAATGCTGAAATATTCTAAAAGTCGCTCAATATTCACTCATGGTACATGTAAGTTTTACATGTACATGCTCAAGCTCAATCATCAAATTGATAAAAACACACGAAATTGCATGACCTTAAGTATATAGGTACAAGGCACATCATTCTATAATGAACTTTTATGGTTGCCATGGTAACAAGCAAAATCAGTCACTAAGATTAGGTTAAGGTAGGATTCTTCTCATATTTCTTGTATCTAAAAATTAATGAAATTTTCACAGAATCAAGAAGACAATATCACAAAGTGATAATATCAGTGGAATTAGATTTGACCGTTTTTTATTAGATACAAGGTCAGGTCAAGTTCATTACCTTTTTCCTAGACATTAATCATAAAAAATTACTGTTGCCAATTATGCCTACTTGTATTTCAAAAGGTTGAATGTTTTTCTTTTTGCATAATATATTTAAATTCTTCTTATTTTCACATATGGTGAAGTTGTCACATAAAATACAAAATGATAGAAAAACAAAAATGTTTTGATTCTTTAATAAGAGAAAAAAACTTTAAGGATTTTGGCTCAAATCTGTATTCAGACTGGAAGCTTATTAACGGTAACATAGTTCTAATCTGTGAGAAAAGTCATTTTTTTAGACAAATTAAGTCCCTTATTAGCCTCACAGGTCTAGGTCAGAAGGTAAAAGTCGTTGGTATTCAATGAAAGGTCTTGCTACAAATAATACATATATGAAATATGAAAGTCCTAGTTTCTACCATTCGAAAGTTGTGACTATGTTCAATGTTTTTGAAAAGAAGGTCCAATCCAAGGTCAAGTTCAAAAGATAAAAACTCTTGGTATGAAAGATATGAATGAAAGATCTTGTCACAAGGATTACATATGTTATGTACGAAAGCTATAGCCCTTATCGTTCAAAAGTTATGGTCAAGGTTAAAGCTCTTTCATAAGTACATAAATCTCCAAGGTCACTGTCAAAGTTGTTTGTATTCAATAAAAGGTATTACCTCTAAGAAAATTTATGTAAAATATGAAAGTCCTAGTATGTACCATTCAAAAGTTGTGACCAAGGTTAGAGCTTTAAAAAGAAATTAAAACTCCAAGGTCAAGGTCAAAGGGTCAAATTTTTCATATCCAATGAATGGTTTTCTCACACGAATCACATATATGAAGTATGGAAGCCCTAGCTCTTATTGTTCGAAAGTTATGGTCAAGGTTAATTTTTTTTTTTTGCATAAGTACAAGGAATACATTTGTGAAATATGAAAGTCCTTGCAAATTCTTACATACCGTTTGAAAGTTATGGCCAAAGTAAAAGTTTGGAATTTTTGTGTAATAATGGGTCAAACTCCAAGGTCAAGATCAAAAGGTCAAATTTGGTGGTACCCAAAGAAAGATCTTGTCACAAGGAATACACATGTGAAATATGAAAGACATAAATTTACTAAATCAAAAGTTATGGGCAAGGTTAAAGTTTTTGTGACGGACGGACAGCTAGACTGACGGACAGATGGATGAAATTTAATGTCCCCTCGCTTTCGCAAAAGAGAGGGACAAAAATTCCTCTTTATAGAGGTTTATTATATATGCACACATCGATTTTGTTTCGTTTGTGTTTCTGATTAAGATTTTTTAAACAATAAAAGCCATAAAAAAAAACATTGGGGCCAGTGGAGGGCAGAGAAATTAAAATTTGATCTTTGAAATCAGAAATTATTTCAGATGAATACAGAACTAGTACTGTCAGTATTTTTACTGTAAATAAATTTATTTTCAAGGTACTGCTCTCGCAGAATATTCATTTTTGTCGTACATTTGTTTTCTAAAGATTAAAAACAGTAATGACCAAAGTTCTTTAATATTCTGTCTGACTTATTAACAATAAATGACCATCTTGCAAATATAAGATGTTGCGAAAATTTAGTACATACAGTTTGAAATAAAAGGAACGACATGTATCATAATATAAATCAAATTTATCCTTCAAAGTTACCCCTTTTACATTCAAACATTTTTTAAGTCTGCAGAGCAATGATTCAATAGGCCATAATATTTAGACTTTCTTTGAAATACTGTCATAATAAGCACTGGAAAACCGCACAACCAACTGCCTTTCGCAAAATGCTGAAAAAACGCATTATATAAGACTGTGTGTCCTTTTGGCACTTTTGACGAAAAAAAAGCCAGACTAATTCAAGAATGATGCTAAATGTTTGTACTTATACATTGTATGCAAAAGGATTTTAAGAAACGCACTAAATCAAATTTACGTAAACTTGTTCAAAAATCAATATGCGCCATTTATCTAACTAATATAACTTAATATAATGCTTTTACATTCATACCAAGGTCCAGATAAAATTTGTTTTAGTGTTTTAGTCTATGAATTAGAAAAAAACAAAAAAGGACCTAGGTCGGGGAAGTATAGGGATATGGAGCTGAACAACCTTTTCATCGTTAAGAAGAAAAATTTGAAGTAGTTTACTCTTATGAGCTGGAACACTGCCATGATTGAGTCTTATATGTTCCTTTAACACAATTTTAGTCTTTTTATCTTCACACACTTAAAAACAAATTAGTACATAATATTTGAAAAATTGTCGTGAGATACCTCAGCCTAACAGTTGGAATTCGCAACACAGGGCAACAAAAAAAAAAGCAGATTTATTTTTAAATCTCTTAGGCATTCCTTTACAAAGTCATAAGACTCAAAATTGCATTTGTCTCACATCATTTCTTTTAAAATTTTCTTTGATGTTTAAAAAAAGGTATTGAATGTCTTATCAAAGTTCGCAGTTCAGCCAATTTTCTCCTACAAAACTTTTTAGAAAAGTTTTTTAAAAAGTTTTCTGGCAAATTTCAAAGGCTTTGATTTATGTTCTTGTATCATAAAATGCGGTATCCATCATGCAAATATTTTACGTGTACTTAACGTTGAGGTCAATCATCTATTGATAAACGTCTGAGCTATGTAGTTCTTAGCCAAACAAAAAAATTCTGTGAATGGACATGGAAATAATGGCAAAGCAACACTACAGAAAACACGAAGGATTTGCAGATAATAAACAACATTCAATATCAAAGTCCATAAAACAATACATAATAAGAGCAGAGGAAACTCGGACATCCGAAACATCAGAGGTGGGATCAGGTGCCATGGAGGAGTGAGCATCCCCTGCTGACCGGTCACACCCTGCCGTGTGCTACTTGTCATGATCGGGAAATAACGGAAAAACCAGTCGTCAATTCTATGTACATGTATAAATAATGGACTAAGAATTAGATTGAAAAACATCAGTCAGCATTTGACTCAATGATAAATTGTATTTGCTGACAAGATATTGTATCGATCATAGAACTTACAAAATGATTACTGTAAACGAGACTGCTGATATTTTTGCTCCATCAGCTTGCTTGTCAATAATTTATCTCGTTTTAGAAATTGTTCATACGTAAAGCATGCTCTTGTGGATCAACTCAATTGAGACATATATACTCCATATGCAGGTGATGAAGGTATATTGCTGCATAAGTAAGGGGAGTTGACGATAGAAAATTTAAGGTCATCATGTTTATCATAGATTGGTTTTT